TTCTCCTTAAATCTCTTATTTTCCTTAGTGTTCATGAATTTTGCTGAAGTTGTTGGTGCTTCTTTGAAGTTGCCTATATGTTCTTATGTTCCAGAAATTTTTATGATATGCATAAAACTCCCCTGAAAACCCTGCAATGTTCCTGAAGTTTTCGGAACATTCCTGAATTTTTTTTTTTTTTTCCTTTGGTTTGTTTTCCGTGCTGAGCACCAATGCTACCGACGCGCCAGGAAGGCAGCTCCCACACCTGGACCCTACCTATCGACCCATCAACTCATGAACCGGGGACCAACGGCTTTACTTCCCGTGATCAGAGATGTTATGCCTCAGAACATCCCGGCGGCGCCGACTGGGATTGAACCCAGGCCTGTTGGGGTGAGAGGTAATCACGCTTACCACTACACCACCGGCGCCGTTGTTCCTGAAATTTATGGAGTATCACAAATTTCCTTGGAGCTCCTTGAAATATCCTGCATTTTTTTCTGAAGCTAATAGGACTGCTCTGAAGTTCTCTGAGCATCTTCGAAGTAAGAAAATTAGAAGTTCTCTAAACTTTCCTGGAGATTTAGGAACATCTTAAAAGTTCTAGCAAAAAAAAAGCCTCCTTAATAAAGTTAAATCAATCAATCAATCAATTTTCATGAAATTCATTGAATTGTCTTGAATTTTCGTAATTTTTTAAGCTCTCGAAACAACCTTGTCATGGTGGTTACTCAAGGTTACTTCATGCATAACCAGCTCTGAAACCGATTTTTTGTTTTATTCAAAACTAACTGAGTGCAGAAATATCGATCTACATGCGCCCATCCATTACTTTCCACAAGGCGTTGAAATATTGCTCCATCCTTAGAGATAAATATAAATGCTTGAAAAAAAAATCCACCGAATTACAAAAATATGTGTATATTGCATTGTACATTCGTTGGTTGATTTATATACGCTTTGTTTACGTGGTACATATTAGAGAATTTCAAGCACCTCCCTTAATTTCAGGAAAATTACAGGAGCTTTATAAACGTTCAGAGAAGTTCAGGGAATTCAAGAAAAAATCAGGGAAGTTCAGAGCTCAATAGATCAATTTTGAAAACTCCATTGAAGTTCCATGAAATTCCAAAACATTCAGCGATCATTCAAAAAGGAAAATTTCTGAGTACTACACTGCCGGTAATCACAAGTCAGTCCCATCTGCATTTTTATCAATTTTGAGTTACCATCATTATTCAGTTTATCTTTCTATGTTTTTTTGCGATGTGCTATTGAAAAAATGTGGTTTTTTCTAGAAAAATTAAAAACAATACCAAGTCAAATTGTCCCACAGCGAAAAGTAACCGCAAAACAGTCCCATTAGAAAGAAATATGTTAGAAATGTTAGACAACACATCGCATCATGAGATTTGTGTCAAGACAGATTTTGTCCACTTCCCCTATGGTATCTGGAACATGTCCGGATGTAGCCAATGTAGGTCTTACGAAACTCAGTTTGACCGCCAATAGATTTGGCTTTGCATTCTCATGTGATTGGATGTATCGCTTGATGGATTTTGATTTAAAATGGATTTACCACTTCCTCGGGGATACCCGGAACATGTCCGGGTGTGGCCAACTTCGTGCTGGTTACTCATCATGACTCTTATTGATCTTATTTTTTTTAATCTTCTTCTTCTTCTTATTCGCATTTCAAGCTTATTGCATATTGCATATTAGCTTATTGCGTGCTCTCAACTTAGTGTTCTAGATGCACTTCCTTAGTTATTAATTGAGAGCTTTCGATGCCTGTACCATTTTTGCATTGGTATAATTGTGTGGCAAGTCCAATCATACTTTTATGCCCAGGGAAGTCGAGAAATTTTTCAACCCGAAAAATTCCTAGACCGGATCGGGAATTGAACCCAGCCACCTCCAGCCTGGTCTTGCTTTGTAGCTGCGCCTTTAGCGACTGAGCTAAGGGAGGCTTATTTTTAATGCTCATGTTAATCGATTTATCGCATCGTGGGTTTGGCACGTTTATGAAAATCTCTGGTCTGATGCAGACCTATACTCACCGGAATATGTTCCGGCCATTGCTCTGGAACCAGCGGAATAAATCCAGAAACATTCAATAAGGTTGTGGATGTTGTGGGAACATAGATGCATTCTATCACATTGTATGTTTATTTTTAAATTTATCCCTCCAAAATAAGTGTCAAATCAGAAAACTTGAAAAATCTTTGAACGCCGTTTTCTCATTTCCAGTTTTTTTTACAGATGGGACTGACTTGCGATTATGGGCACTACAGGAATGTCTAGCACTTTAGAGAAGTTAATAGATCCTTAAGGGTAAATTCTGAGTACAGCAATATTTTTTTCCTTGATCTGATTTCCAATTATCTTGTTTTCGCCACCTACCGTCAGCTCCTACACCTGGACCCTACGCCTACTTCCGGAAGGTGTGATCAGAGATTTGTTTGCCTCAGGAAATCCCGGCGGCGTTGACTGGGATTGAACTCCGGGGGTGAGAGGCAATCACGCTTACCACTACACCACCGGCGCCGCTTGAGAACATCAATGAAAGTCCACGTCGTGAACTTACCGTATGCGTGATAATGTTTGCACCATTGAGCAAAGTCAAAATTAATAAAAAATCTCAAAAATTTCGTTTTTTCCGTGCCCTTGACTTCGCCCCGCAATCTTCCTTTACGATCTTCCGTGCCATAAATTCACTGATCCCGTGTTCCTTTACCATTTACCTTATTTCACCCGATTCACCCGAATCTTCCTTTTGATAGCAGCGATAACCATCGGAATCCGAGCTGACCGCAGACGACCTGTGGCCACCTTCGCGGATAGTTGTCCTTTCTTTTCTCGGTCTAAAACCCACACTCCCACGGCGATTGAAATGTCTTTTTGTGAAATTTGCACGTGGGACAAATCACGAATACGCTGCCACTTCGTCATGGTGCAACTGTCAAACTAAGTAAATCATTTTCTTTTATACACAGCCTACTACGGTATGAGCTATACACTCAAAGATAAATTAAATCAAAAAAGCTTAAAAAGTATGCAGTTTCCCGCTTCACCTTATTGAGTCCGAGCCATGATTACTTCGGCTGTAGTCATGCATGATTAAAATCGAAATAATCTTTCCAGTATTAAATTTTATTCTTTTTCAATACTGATATATGATTAAATAAAAAAGGTTAAAATTCAATCAAATTTTTTTTAAATAGAATCAAAAATGATTAAAACATATTCAAAAAAAGATAATCTACAATCTAATCCACCATGATTAAACTGGGATTAATATCAGATGCCTATTTTTTAGAAAGAGAGGATTAATTTTTAATCATTCGATATGATTTAACTGAGTTTAATGTCAAATTGATTAAATTTCAAGCAAAATGCGAATAGCTCAATTTATCAGTGTAGGTTACGTGCATGCAAAAAAAAACCAAGGCATTGTATGCACAGGTGAAACGGGAACCTTATTTGTACGATGGTGCAAACATTATCACGCATACGGTAGATGATAATCAGATACCATCACGACTGTTCCCTTAGCATCAAAAAAATCAGGAGCTTTACAAGAACTTCCAGAAAGTTCAGAATTCTTCTCGTAAGTTCAAAGATCTTTAGCAAAATTCAGGGAGTGTCGAGAAAATTCGAAGAACTTTAGGCCAATTCCATAAATGTCCGGCAAATTGCAGACACATGAGGGGAATTCCGAATACTTTGAGAACTTTAGGTCCATTCAGTTAACTTCAGAAAATAGTGTAGAAACTTTACCGAACTCAGTCCAGAAAACATAACCGAAGTCACGAGTTCAATGAGCGTCAAAATTTATGCAAAGTTTGAAAGATTTATGAGCATCATGGAAATTCCAAGGATTTGAAGGATGTTCCCAAAACTTCAGCGTAGTTCCGAGACCTTCAAGAATGTCCAGAACAACATTAAAAAGTTTAAAGATCTGTTTTGGTAACTTCCGATAGCATTCAATAGATTTCAGGAAAATCTCGATAAGTGAAGATTAATGAGATGCAGGCCAGGTTCATTAATTTCCAAAAAAAAAATATACAAAACTTCACTGAAGTTGCCAAAACATTAGTTGACTTTAAAGATCTTAAGGGAAGTTTCGCAACTGCTGGAATTTTTGTGAATTCAGTGTAAATCCATGATTAGGGAATTTGCGGGCCCCTCTGGGAAGTTCCAAGAACTTCAGGTAAATTTCGAGTACTTAGGGCAGTTCCATTAAATTAAGAAAAAAATCGAAAACCTTCAAGAAGTTCTGAAAATTAGAGATAGTCTATAAAACATCAGGAAAAATTAGAGAACTTAAGAAAATGGCCTGAAACATCACAGAATTTCCGAGAAATTTAAGCAACTGCAGAAAACGTGGGGATGCTTACCCAAGTAACATTTCAAGTTTTATCGTGGTTTTAAAGCATTATTTAAGTCTAAACTATAGTCTACAGAACACTTATAAAACCAAAATTGTTACTTGGGTACAGATCTTACAGGAAGTTTTATTAATTTCAAGGTAATGGCTGTAGGATTTTCAGGGATATCCAAAGAACTTTAGGGAAGTCAAGAAAACTTTAGAGAAGTCCTGAGAACGTTATGAAAATTGTTACCACATGATTGATTTCCGATATTTGTCATACAATATAATTGAACGAAAAGTTGTCCATAGCAAAAATCACTAAAATTGATTACCATTCTGTACATATGAAAAAGTGTAACATTTTGCACATTTTGTATAAATCGACAGTTTTACATTTGTCCCAAGGCACTACATGGGGAACCCTTCTCCCCCCCTCGCTGAGCCAGTGTCATCCAACAACCAATCTCCAACTGCATCACTGACACTGCCCTAGCTCGGGCGATCAATTAAAACCCGTAGCAACCGGTGGCGGTGCCACGCCCCCGGAAGGCAGTCTATAATCTCAATCGCTCTAGCCCCACTTATATATGTACACCCATTTCACTAAAATCTTCCCTTTCTGCTCTTTCCCGCCCCCGAACAGTTTCTGGAGCAAACGCTGGTCTGGCCGACGCTGGCCGTGACCGCAACGCTGATCGCCCTTGGGTGTGGACTTTTAGCGGCCAGGTGAACCCAGAACTCCACAGCTGCAGCAGCCCCACCAGTTCCAGTTTCCAGTTCCAGTGCAACCGAGATTTCACAGCAGAAGAAACAAGTGCCTTGATCATCATCGCCACAGCCACAGCCTAGGTATAAGGAAAATCTAGAGCTCCAATACGCACTAATTATGTAGGTACTCATCATCCGATCGTAGTAAATGATGTCGCAACTCAGCAAGTGAACGGCCGACGAGTGAGAGGGAAGCGAGGTGGGCGCTCCCACGCGGTAGACAATTTTTCTTTTATTCGTATCTTACCATATTAGCTGATTAAGAGACAACAGTGACCGCTAGGGGGTAAGGTTTCGCTAGGTTTTAAGGAACGATTTCAAAGATGAAACAATTTTTAATCCATTTGAAGGATTGTGATCTCGATTTTTTTTTTGTGTGTGTAACCCTCATTGAAAGTTTTCATTTTAAATATGAATGTTTTTTAGTTTTCTTGATGAAAGTCGTTAATTGAATTCGAAGGTTTTTTTTTAAGTTACGGTGGAAAACACAAACGAAAAATGAAATGCTAAGCCAAAAGTGATTGTGATTGTCCTTTTAAGTTGTTTTTTGTTTCTCTAAAAACAGGAATTTAAAAAAAATATGAATGCTTTATTATTTTGTTTTGTTCATCCTCTACCGTTCTACAGAGCATTTTGGAGTTAGGAAAAAAACCCAGAAAGTTTACTAGATTTAAGGTAAATGAATTTTTAATTTGAAACATTTTATGTAAAAGTTATCAACCTAGCCAATAAAGATTTCGTTACATTTTAAGACAACAGATTGATTTGTTAGTGAAATTATATATGTGTATAAATGAATTGGAAAGCCATATCGGTTAGGTGATCGGTTTGTGGAATTCTTTCTATTTTCTCGGAGAAAATCTTCTAAAGATGATCTTCGTTTATCATCGGAAGGAATAACATGAGCCGATTTAAAATATTAATTAATAATTACTAAGCTTACGAGATGAATAATAGTGTAACAGTATTAAGCTTAGGATAATGAACGTCAAATTACTGATCTTCCGTAGAAAATTAAGCTTTGAGTTTATTAAAATTTCAATGAAATCTTCTGTTCGGTTGGACACTGATGAACACACGATCTCGAAACTTGACATCACTCAAGTTCATCATCCGTCGTTATTCGTCAGTAATTTTCTTGGCATTTTGATCAAATAATATACACCCAGCTACATTTTCCCAATTTTCTATTTCTGAGGTGAAGTTAGAAAGTTTCTGGAGGTACCTACCATATTAATATTTGATTTTTTTTTTTCTGATTTTTTGACACTAGTTGTATCGAGCTTGGTTTTAGAACATAGGAAAAAAGGATTTATTTAATCTCAAAATAATTTTTGGAAAAAGTGGTTTAAATTTATAAAAAATATGCATTTCAAGGGAAACTTCATTCCTCTTGCTTTCTGTGCCGTATTAGTAATACGCATTAAGACCACTAGGACTAAAGACAGAAAGAAGGCGTGATCAGCGATTATATGCCGGCAGCGCCGACTAGGTCTGAACATAGGCTTTTGGGGTGAGAGGCTATCACGCTTACCATAGTATGTTTCTCTTCGGCTGAGTCTAAAACAGAACGGATGATTCAGTTTCCGTGTCTGAGGATGATTTGATTGTTATCATATATGTAATCATGATAAATACATTTAATAACTGAACATCGTGACCAACATTCGAAAACGGTCTAATACAGGGTGATTCGGTATAACTGTCACTTTTAAAAAGGGTCATAACGATTGAACGCTTGCATGATTTTTTGATATCAGTATACCCGAGATATACTACATATATAACCTTCAACTTAGCATACTTTAATACAAATTTCTCTCCTTTATCCTTTAATTACCAGCCACATTTGTCACGGAAATGAACCACAGCTGGCATGCACTTTTGGAGTGATGGCGATGCGTCTATTCATTATTCATTATAGTCCCCTTTTAGCTCGATACAATTATTCCAGCTTCATGATCCCGTCCGAAAAATAATTTTCCGGAAGGTCTGCAAATACTCCTTCGCGGCGTCGATGATTTCCTCACGTGAGATGAATTTTTTTATTGATGAGCCATCTTTTGAGGTTTAGGAAGAGATAACAGTTTGAGAGAGCCAAATCGGGCGAATACGGTGGATGCGGAAGCAGTTGGAGCAGTAAGTCATTGAATTTAGCCGTGGTTGCGATGCTTTTGTGCGCCGGCGCATTGTCTTGCAAAAACAATTTATTTTATCGCTTCATGTGAAGACGTTTTGCAGCGCTTTCGGCCTTCAACCGCTCCAATAATGCACAGTAATACTCGCTGTTGATGGTTTTTCCTTTTTCGAGGTAGTCCACGAAGAGTATGCCATGACAATCCCAGAAAACCGACGCCATAACCTTTCCGACCCATCGAGCCTCCCTCGGCCGCTTCGGAGCACTCGTGCCGGCTTCAGTCCTTTGCCGGGCATTCATTCTATTCTCTGGGGTCTAATAGTGGATCCAGGTTTCATCAACAGTTACCAATCGACGCCAAAAGTCCGCCCAATTCCGCATCAGCAAGTCCAAACACTTTTTAGAAGTGCTCTCGCGTTCGTGTTTTTGGTCAGGAGTGAGCTTGCGTGCCACCCAGCGGCAGGATAACTTTTTCACATGCAGAATCTCGCCCAAAATATGGCGTGTGCGCTCAGTATTAATCTTTGCGATATCTGCTAGCTCACGCACCTTCACTTTCCGGTCAGCCAACACCATTTCATGTATTTTTTGACATTGTCCTCTGTAGCCGCATCGGAGGGCCTGCCGCTGTGAACGTGATCGGTAGTGGAGTTGCGGCCACCACGAAACTCTCGAAACCAATATTTGACGGTGTAATCTGACGGAACATTAGCCCCACAATATTTATCCAGCTTTTGTTTCCTTCGCCGTTTTGCCTCTCAAAAATAATGTTTTATGAGAGAACGAAAATCGTTTTTATCCATACTCAACATGATGCCAAACACGCCAACAACAATCAGCTGTCAAAACAAAATCAAAGATAGTATCGCACTGAAATTTGGCATGTCTGCCTAAATATGAACGGACTACAAGGCACCATAACCTTTTTTGCAGTAGCAGCGCATTCTGGCGGTCAAGGAGGTTACTTTTCACCCCACCTAGTACACATGTGTGCTAAAGAATGTGTTTCGATTAATCCTTTAATAAAAAAAAGTTACGATCAACTTTCTCCAACACTAAAGTCATTTTCATTTGTTGATATCTTCAGTTGGACTGGGGGATGAACTGGAATACACTTCTTGCAGCAATAAAAAGGTGATACAGTGCTTGCCCGATTTTGTCAGCCAGGCTGACAAAAACGGGAAACTGACCAAATCGGGAAAAAATTTCCCATTCTTTTTTCGATCAAAACTATTACAAAATAATGAAATCCTTATAGGGTACGGGGTGCTATGAGAGAATGTGACCATCAGCGCTTATTTACGTGTTTTGCAAAACAAATGTGATGGAGTTTCACCCATAATCACTAGAAGAGCTGCAGAACAGTCATCTGGGAAAATGTTTATATCAAGTAGTCTTTTAACGCTGTTGGTCATATAACGCCAGGGTGCATTTTACCCCACCTTCTCCTATTATTTGTAAAAACTCTTCTCATCAAATAATTAGAATTATTAAATTAATTTTCCCTTGACGATAATGAAATATGTATCAACTTTCAAAGCAGAGAAAATGGGGGGAGGGGGTCAAAAAGCCAGACCTGTATTTAATTTGGCAGGGGATGGCATCCACTAGTTGCGTAGTGTAGCTCCACTAAAGCCCATTCCTTACTCTCTCCTCTGTCTGGATCCCCCCGGGACCACGCTGAAGCGACTACTTTGAGGGGGATGGCACTTCTCATACTCTCAGTGCTAGCTGGTGTTGCTATATCGCTGCTCCTCTCTCCATTCCAAGTGCCTTCCTCTAGACACATTTCATCGAAGACCACAGGCTCCGGCGTTTCATCCACGTTGCCACACTCCGGACAGAGGGGTGACGCTGCGTGTCCGAACCGATGCAGGTATTTCCTGAGGCACCCGTGGCCAGACAGGAACTGCGTCCTCCGCCGGGTGATGCCGATAGGGATCATTCCGGCGATAGCGCATACTGCTTCCGATGAGATGGTTCTGTACGCACTCACGACTCGCATGACCATGAGTCGGAACGTACTGCTCAGTTTCCTTTGGTTCTGCTTCGTTTCCAGTGTTATCTATCCAGAAGACGCTTCTTGATATTGCTAGGAATAGAGTTAATCAGCATGATTATAGCTATTGTGTTGATGGCCTTCCAAGCATTCTCACAGACATATACGACGTGGCTGTTGAAGTTTACCTGGTCTTCGATAATCACTCCCAGGTATTTCAAAACGCGCTTCGAGGCAAAGGCGTGCGTTGGACCAAGGATGGAGCCTTGTGGAACTCCCGCTGTGATGATAATCGATCTCTGTCCCATATCTGTCTCGTAGACCAGAACCAGGTGGAAGTAGCTCCTCAGTATCCTGCACAGGTAGTCTGGGACCCTCATTCTATGCAGCGCTTTGGCAATGGCTTTCCAGCTACGCTGTTGAACGCATTCTTGACGTCGATCGTTATCACGGTGCAATATCGATCTCCTCTTCGCTTCTGTTTGGACGCCTACTTGGCTCTCTCGACCATTGTCCGAATTGCATCCACCATCCCTTTCCGGAATCCAAACTGCTTCTCCGACAATCCAAAACAAAAGCTGACAGGGCTGATTAGGTTGAAGCATTGTCCCTTTCAATTGACGATGTTATTTATCTCCGTTGAATTCTAAAATTTGTGATGGCGGAATCTCTTGAAAATTCAAAATATGTTAAATTCTTAAAATAAATGTTGCTGGCAATGACAATGTTTTTATTACAATTGCAAAAAAAGAAACAGGTTTTCCGTTTTAAAAATTATGTTTCCAGCAAACAGCAGTTCAAAACTAATAATTCCTAGTAATTACTAGTAATGTAAATGAATGTAAAAGCTACATTGGATGCAAGACCTAAGCGTTGAATTGGTTGATATTTGAATGAAAAATCACTTAAAATCGTCAATTGTTAATTTTACCCAGTATGTACATTTTACTCCCGCTTCCCCTAACATTCACATTACAGCGAAGTGTAAGAATAACAATTATTCATAGCGAAGTGTTTGAGAGTTCATGTTTAAAAACTCAAAAATTTAGTGAAATCTGTAGGCTGACAACATCGAAAAAAAACGCTGACAAAATCGGGAAAGCACTGTATTTCAATGCATTTACACTCATAGACGTCTTATCAAAATAAATTCAGAGTTGTGACTTAGGGGTATTCAACTCTACACACCTTAATCTGTGCCAAGAGTTCTGGCAGTGCCGAAAGCTGTGCCAAGCGATGTGTCGATTATTCCGAAGTAGGCCGAAGCGTATCAATCAAGGTGTCAATATCCCTCTTGACCGACCATGGTGTGGAAGAACTCTGTTGGCGTGAGGCTATTCTGGACGAAACCACGAGTCGCTGGAATTTTCACTACGAATCGGATGAGATAAACTTAGTTTCATGGTGCAGACAGGTGCCGGCAATACTCACAGCATTTTTTCATGGAATCCGAACGCAATATGAAGCCCAATGGAGGAAACAAAGAAGTCAACCCTAGCAACGATTGGCAAAACGTCAACTTTCGACAGTGATGCCGTTTATGTTATGTTGATTGTATCCTACGTTCGTCCTAAAGTGCCGAATAGTGTGCCATGCTGTGTTTCGGCACAGTGTGCAGAGTTGATAATCCCTTGGATGTGACCAGAATATGGACCCTGGGAAACACCAGGATGGTCCACCGGAAGATCTGGAACATCCATAAAAATGGTCAATTCATGTAACTAAACCACGGGTTTTTCAAAACCACTCATAGACGTCTTATCAGAATGAATTCAGAGATGTGACCAGTAAGTGGAGGCTAGAGACCGCTGGATGATCAACCGAAAGATCTGGAACATCTGTAAATTGATCATTTCATGAAACTGGTTCTAGAGCTCAGCGATTTTTTCGAAACTGTTCATAGAAGTTTAATCAACATGAATTCAGAGTTGTGACCAGAAAGTTAACCCGCGGGACGGTCCTCTGGAAGATCCGGAACATCCGTAAAAGCGTTCAATTCTTGAAGCTGAAGCTAGAACTTCATTTTTGTAACCATTCATAGACGTCAGAGACCTCCCTTAGCTCAGTCGGTAAAGGCACAGTTCGATTCCCGGTCCAGTCTAGGAATTTTTCGGGTTGGAAAATTTCTCGACTTCCCTGGGCATAGAGTATGATTGTACTTGCCACACAATTATACTAATGCAAAAATGGTACAAGCATCGAAAGCTCTCAATTAATAACTGTGGAAGTGCATCTAGAACACTAAGTTGAGAGCACGCAATAAGCTAATATGCCATACGCAATAAGCTTGAAATGCGAGGAAGATGAATTCTGCGCTGTGATCGGAATTTAGCACCTTGGGACTAAGTAATGGACCTCCGGAAGAGCATGAACATCCGAAAAAGTGGTCAGTTCATGAAATTGATAATAGAACTTTTCAAAAACACGCATAGACGTGTCATCAAAATTAGGTACAAGTTTAGACCGGAATATGGAATTTTTAGTAATCCACTTAAAGTATCCAGCATTTTACGAGCGTTCATGGCTGCCACAATCTGATTCAGTTTCTGGTAGGGAACATATGATTTGAAGTTTGGCTTGTGTCGTTTGACCTGTAAGCGGGCAAATTTGATCGTTTATACGTCAAACGACATAACCCAAACATCCAATCGAATGTTCCCTATCAGAAACTCAGTCAGATTGTGGCGGCCATCAGCGCTCGTAAAATACTTGATACTATGGTTTAATCTGTTAAATAGGTTTACTATTTCACACGCTGAAAAAAA